CAGACAACAGACTACTCAAACATACACTGAAATATAAAACAACTCGACCAAGGACAGACAACACAATATTCAAATGGATAATGAAAAATATAACAACTCGATCAAGGACAGACAACACAATACTCAAACGTATAATGAAAAATATAACAACTCGATCAAGGACAGACAACACACTACTCACACGTTTAATGAAAAATGTTACAACTCGATCAAGGACAGAGAACATAAATTACTCAAACATATGATGAAAAAATGAGACAACTCGATCAAGGACAGACAACACACTACTCAAACGTATAATGAAAAATGTACCAACTCGATCAAGGACACAGAACATAAATTATTCAAACATATAATGAAAAATGTGACAACTCGATGAAGGACAGACAACACAATACTCAATCGTCTATTATTATACTTCATGTCAAAATGCCAGATTTTGATTGGTTAATACGAGGGAGACAATTTACTCTATCCCATGATAAATACTCTATTACCCTTCACGGAGACGCTTGATATAGTGTGGTCTTTATTAAATACGGATGGTTGTTATGTACAAGACGTCATAGTTTATTACTTTTAATTTGAAATTTAATAGACATTAATAACAGAACATGTATTATATACATATGCACTTTGATGGATCTACAATCTGTCGATACCTGTATCTTGGCATTGCACAAGGTCATGTTTTTCTCTGACCGTTTATGACGTCTTTACACTAAATCCATTGGATGTAAGATGTGTACTGATTGATAATTTAGTCTTCGATGCATGATTTTTTTTTATTAGTTTGTATTTGCTTTGAACTAGCTGTCAGTAACTGCGAGTACTCTCAGGTATGTACTTGGTTTGTTTTTGTTGTTGGGATGTACAAGTTCCAGGCCCAGGCCTCTACAATAACTTTTTTTTCATCTTGCCCAATAGGACAAGTACATACCAAAACTAACTTGTCCGAATGGAATTGTAACTTGTCAAAAAAACAACCTTTGTATTTAAATTGAGAATGGAAATGGGGAATATGTCAAAGAGAAAACAACCCGACCAAAGAACAGACAACAGCCGAAGGCCACCAATGGGTCTTCAGCGCAGCGAGAAAATCCCGCACCCGGAGGTGGTCCTCAGCTGGCCCCTACATAAAATAGTGTACTAGTTCACTGAAAATTGACGTCACACTAAACTCCAAAACATATAAATGAACTAAAATTAAAAAACATACAAGACTAACAAAGGTCAGAGGCTCCTGACTTGGGACAGGCGCAAAAATGCGGCGGGGTTAAACATGTTTTGTGAGATCTCAACCCTCCCCTATACCTCTAGCTAATGTATAATAAGGAAACACATAGTAATACGTACAGTAAAACTCAGTTCAAAAGAAGTCCGAGTCCGATGTCAGAATAGGTAACAAAAGAAATCAAGCAAAATGACAATGATACATAAATAAACAAAGGACTACTAGCAGTTACTGACATGCCAGCTCCAGACCTCAATTAAACTGATTGAAAGATTATGTTTTCATTATATGAAAATTAAGTACAATCCCTCACGTTAGGGGTTTAGTATCATACCATCATAAAATATATGAGAAGAACATAACCCGTGTCATGCCAACAACTGGTTTTAAATTAAATGTGTTTATTTCCGATGCAAAGACCCTATGAGTGAATCAATATCAATACCAAGATATGCAATCCTACTGACTTGACAACAGTATTGTAACTATATCCTTTCCGAATAAGTCTGTTTAAAGGTTTGGTTAGCTTTTGAGGTGAATGCTGACATTTTTGTGCTTTGTAAAGAATATTACCATAAAAAAAGTTAATGTACATTAATTAGACCATTATTTTTCTCTAATGAATTGTTTTACATTTGTCATTTCGGGGCCTTTTATAGCTGACTGTGCGGTATGGGCTTTGCTCATTGTTGAAGGCCGTACGATGACCTATAGTTGTTAATTTCTGTGTCATTTGGTCTCTTGTGAAGAGTTGTCTCATTGACAATCATACCACATCTTCCTTTTTATAAACACCATACTCAAACATATAATGAAAAATGTAACAACTCGAACAAGGACAGACAACACCATACTAAAACATATAAAGAAACAATAGAGCCAAAACATTGACTGACAAGCACCGTTATCAAATATATATATATATTAAAAATCAGAAATTAAAAAAAAGGACACCAAAATCATAATTTAACATAAAAAAAAGCATTACAAACTCATAGAAAAACAACAGCATTATCATATCGAAACATAATAGAATACTTATGTTCTAATTTGTAATAATTAAACAGGTTAAACGAACATAAATTATTTAAACAATAAAACTCAACACATGTATCAGAAATGTACGGAAGCGTATAACCAACATTTCAAAATTCCAAAACTATAAAAATGAGCAGCTCATGAGTCGTCCTGAATATGCATGTCATATTTGCCAGTTGATTAACCATTGCTTAAACAAGACAAAGGCAGTGGGTTGCTTTTAGGAAATCAAACAGGCCTTAAAAACCAACCATAAAACAATAGATGCTAAATGTTCTCAAATCTGACTATCCTATGACAATGTCGCGGGAAACTAAAACATGGAATATGGGAAAACAATTTTTTTTTTCTCAACATGCATGTTCTTTCCAAGTTAAACTTTTCATTATTAAATGCTAATCCATATCATAATTTAAGAACAAGACCAATTTCTGAATTAAAATTGCAAAAAGTGGGACGAAAGACACCAGAGGGACATTCAAACCCATAGATCGAAAACAAAATGACAACGCCATGGCCAACAATAAAAAGACAAACAGACAAATAATAGTACAGATGACACAACATAGAAAACTAAAGACAAAGCAACACGAACCCTAACAAAAACTGGGGGTGATCTCAGGTGCTCCGGAAGGGTAAGCAGATCCTGCTTCACATGTGGCACCCGTCGTGTTGCTTATGTTATTACAAATCCGGTAAATAGTCTAATTCGGTAGGTCACATTCGTCATAAGGAACATATCCGATATCATCTGTGAAACGGTTATTCCATAACGGTCAACCAACTCGTGATGGCGTCCGTAAAATTTACGAAGGGATGATTTCAACTTCACCATTTGGAACTCTTGGTTTAATAGCTTCCTTGTGAGCAGCAATCCTCTATCAAGGAAATCATGATAGGAAATACAAGCCCGGGAATATCGTATCAATTGGGAGATAAATACTCCTATGTATGCAGGTGCTGCTGGAACAAAATATGCGTATTACGCGTTAATAATGTGTGTCCCTGTCTCCTCTTTCTAAAATTGTAATAACTGTGTATGAATACCAATATAAAAGTTTAAACACTTTGAAAAAGTCGAAATTTCTAAATTTCTAAATTCAAAATTTTATTTGAAAAGTCGCAATTTTGAGGGTTTTTTTTGTTTAAAAACTTCAAGCTTAAATCAAAACTTCGAGATTTTTAAAGTTGACGTTTTGAGTTAAGTCAAAATTGCGAGTTTTAAGTCGAAATTTGGACTTTTATAAAGTCGAAATTTCGAGTTCGAATTTTTAAAATCGAAATTTCAATATCTTAAAAAATCAAAATTTAAAGTTAAAGTCAAAATTTTGAGATTTAAAAAGTTAAAATTCGAGTTAAAGTCGAAATTTAAGATTTGAAATGTCAAAATTTCTACTTTGAGTAAAAAGTTTAATGCCAATTTTATTTTTACTATGTCCCTATGATACATAGAAATGAGCTCTCCTTGTGACAAAAGCATACTTTTGATATTTCTCAAAAATCAGTTTAATTTTCTCCACGATATCCTAAAAAATAACTACTAGTTCTTAGCCAGTATGTTTGAGGGGCATTAGCTACGAGATACAATGTACAAAAAAAAAAAAAAAAAAAATTAAAATACACAATTTATTTTGTTCAATTATTGATACATTTTCAAAGTGAAATAATGATCATAATTCGTTTAAGCAGCCAGTCCGATTCAATTTTGTCAAAATCATCTAAAAAGCATCGTTGATGAATTATTCGTCTGCGAGTGCATATTTCAAACTCATTGAATCCGTATTCATCTGACATTCAATTTAACCCCTTAGCTGAGATGATTACCGCATGTATTCAGCTATTAAAAAGAAGAAAAAAATGTCAAGATTAAAAGTAAAACAAAAATACACACGAAATGCAAATACATATCGTCGAGTCCATGCATTTTGATTGTTAATTTTAGACTTTTTGTAATTTAGATATTCGTTTAAGTATATGTCATTACTTAGATTTGAGTCGGTTAACACGAATTTGACAGTTAATGCCCCTTTACACAGTAATACGTATATAAACTCAATCAAATGCAGCAATTCAGTAAAACATAATCATACATCAAGCTACAAAACAAGAAATATAATATAAATGTTAAGCATTAGAAATAGCCATTACTGTTAACACAGGAAAAAACGACTGTCGAGATGATTGGTGTATGTGTGGAAAGGGGGTGGGGGTTGTTTATAAAAAAAACAGGCAGTTGTACGTAGTATGCTACTCAGCTAAAGTCAGAACTTTGAATTATTGCATTATAAATTTTGTTTAGTTTATATGAAACAGCAAACACGAAACACAGGACCCAAATCCTACGTTACCTAGAATACCCACGATGCGACAAATTACATCCAATGAAAACCATTATAAATTATTTAGGTGTTTTTGTTGATGTAGAGAAACACATGCGTTTTACCTAAACAAATACATGTGCTTTCATACTATAAATAAATATATAACAACAACCAGAACATGAACAACCAACAATTTAGCCAAGTTAAAAAAAAAACAGAACACAAACTAGAACAAGAAAAATACAACATCATCAAACGTTAAGAAAAATAACAAAAGACAGCTGTAATGATGACTTTTAATTTGGAAAAAACTAAATACTTGACCAAGATTTTTGTTGTTTTGTTTTGTCACGTAGGTATCTTAATTTGCGTTGTTTAAGAGGGGAAAATACAAACATTGTTTCCTACAAGCTTCCTCGCCGGTTGTTTTATTACATGCGGTATGTCATACTAATGTATATAACAAATCGGAGCCCTTCTAGGTCTATTCAGTACTATTGAATTCATCGCACTTTAGAAGAGGTAAGAACTTATACGTAAAAATAGTTATTATGTATACGCTTTTCACTTTTTTATTCTGTTTTTTTTTTTTTTTTTTTTTCATTTTTCCATTTTGTACACAAAATGACTTGAATGTGTGATTGTATGGCGTTACATGCAAACTTAATATACGCACTACTCATTGATACCTGGTTTGATTAAGTTTGATTATGTTTGATTATAAAATAAATGAAACAATTATATACTGACTTTTCAGTGATACAATGTACAAGTTACTGTATAATAAATTCATTTGAATTTACAAAAAAAAAAAAAAGATTGATCAGTCTAGGATGTATATACGAAAGCAGCCTATGATTTACCTAATCGACCTTTTTCAGGTTCCTAAGTATGCATACACGTACATTATAATTTTAGAATGTCTGCCTATAATATCGTTGCATATTCCAAACAGCAACGCGATCGATAACTCCCGTGTCCGAAAGGTTTAGCCTATTATTTTGGAGTACCCTCGTAAAAAGTAGGTTATATTAGTAGGCTGGTATGACTTTGAAACAAAAACAAAATAAGAAAAAGGATACGGCCTCATTTCATTTATTAGATTACGAGTTAATTGAAACAACTTGAACATTTCTGAAAATAAACCTATTGTCCTTGATAATTTTCCACATAACTGATTGAAGACCAAATAATTATTAATTCACAAATGTATCAATCTAATTAAAATTAGTTCTCCTCACTTGCTCCTCATTTTCGTTCGGTTGTTTTATATGTGTCCCACGCGCGACATATAAACAACCGAACGAAAATGAGGAACAAGTGCGGAGAACTAATTTTAACTAGATTGCAAATGTATTGCTCTGCTATCACGAAAATAGCTTAATGATATTGTTATTAATTTGAAGCTGTTCTGGTGATAGCCAATACTCTATGAACGTGTTTTTTTTCTTGTTTTGCAGCTAATCAAAATGAGAAGTCTGTTTGTCTGTATTTTGGTATTTGTTGGTACCCAGCAACTAGTACGTTTAGATGAGATTGGCCAGTGTGTGTCGTTAATTGAACAAGTTGCAACAGAAGGTAATTAATACTTGTGTTTCTTTTTATGCAGAAAAGTAGGTTGTTAGCCTTGAATACTTTATGAATAGATATATTTGAACAAATCTTGACCTCGGCCATTAAATTCCATAAATAGCAAAATTCAAAATTACCCATAAGCCCTTTATTTCAACGAATCTGGTTGTTTTCTTGCAGTATTTACTTGATAAATATGCAGTAAACACTCACTTGAACATAGGTTTCCTCCATAAGCTTGGAAATCTCATGGCTATTCACATATGTATAATGTGTTTTTTTTTCAGGTTACCTTGGATGTTTTAGGGATATAGATAATACTATGCTACCATCAAGAACTGTCAAAGGATTTCAAAAATTAACTCTGAAGAAGTGCCAACAACAATGTCAGGGCTACACATTTTTAGGACTGCAAGTAGGTTAAATATGTTATCCAATTAAATATCTTATATACTCAATGGATAACTTGTATTTCAATTTGATTATGCGCATAGCTATTTACTATTTGTATAGCCGTTTGATAATATGTACAGCATGACACCTGTCTATTGTTACACTATATGTTGCCCTCTAGATGCGCTTAGGTCGTTTTTGTCGTTTAATTGCTGCCTTTTTGGCGTAAAAACCCACATCTCCTACAGTTTTAGTTCCGTTTGATGTGCTTTTAAATCGGTGTATGACAAATGATAAATGAGAGGGTTATTAAGTATAGAATAAATTGTTTCTTTCTCTCAAGAATATGCTCAGAGGAAGATTAATCTAAGAGAAATGTACTTAAATTTAAAGTGCAAATTAAACAAAACAAAAAAAGTTTCACTTTCCAATCTTTAACTCCGACCCCCTATTCCCCCCATATATTTTTGTTCTTTTGTATTCATTTTGAGGTCATGCCCAAACTATACGAAGTCTGATTGATCTTATAAAAAAGAAGATGTGGTATGACTGCCAATGAGACAGCTCTCCACCAGAGACCAATTAACATAGAATTTAGCAACTATAGGTTACCGTACGGCCGTCAACAATGAGCAAAACTTATACTGCATAGTCAGCTATAAATGGCCCCGAAATGACAAATGTATTACAATTCAAACGAGAAAATTACTAATATATTTTTTTCTGTTCTGGCACAACCTCATTAAATTCGATTTCAAAATAGTCACTCAAAAGGAACAAATATTAACAAACGTCGTAATACATTCCATTGAGAACAAAACTAATCCAAATCAGGTTTCAGCTATTTGGATACTTTAAAAAATCAAAAAATTTGGAACGACAAAGGGTATGCTAAGTTGTTAGTTGATCAACTATGCCGTAATTGGCAGGTCAGTGGCGGATTCAAAGGGGTAGTGCGCCCCCCCCCCCCCTTTTGATTGGAAAATATAAAATGTTTAATCCTAAAATCGTCTATTCCTTTCAAAAATTCTAGATCTGTCCATAAAGATAAGAGTACATTTCAACTGTGCAGTAAATCTGAGGTAGTTAATACACACCTTACCTGTGCATTATCCAGATTATAGCACAGTTAGAACAATGATTGATTTTTGATTGTTGGTTGCTTAACATCCAGTGGCAAATATTTCATGCATGTTCAGGACGAGAACAAATTAACAATGAATACAATAGGTAGGTCCTGTAATAGAGGCCGTCCGGGATGAAGGTCGGGGAAATTTGGACTGCCACGGGAAAATAAGGGTATAAAGGATCAGGACAGAAATTTAGCCTTGCAACAGGCCACCTACGGACCCCTCAAAGAGTTGTTGCAAGGGTTCTTAACGTGCAAAGAACGTGGCACTCTCTTTACACGAAGCATCGGATTTAACGTCCCCATTCTGACCGGACGTGATTGCGAACTTGTACACCCCGCACAGCCAAACGGACGCCCCACTTTAGCGAGGGTTTTACTGCCGGTCGGAGGAAGACCAATGGTGACCATATTTATATTCCCCAGTCACCCTTTGGGGCCAGTAAGAACAAAGAGATTTTGCTTATGCTATGTGTTAAATAAAGTTGTTTATCAATTTGTCCAAAATGCGTATACAATAGTTGCCACTGAAATTAATAAATGATCCCTGAATCTTTTAAGCATTCAAGTTATATATAGGTCATTTCGATTTTTGGCACTGAAACGGATTCGAAATTTTCTCCCAACCTTACATGTAAACCAAATTCAGAAATAAGCATTTATTCCGTAGATACTGGCTTCAACAAGATTTTAAGACTTCTGGGTACTTGATCCGTTTAAAAAAATCTTAAATACCACTTCCTTGAAAATCAAAAATTTGTTTTTTTTTTATAAGTAAAATTTAGCAAACCTTTTCAAGTTAATGTTGAAATAGGAAACGTATTATTAATACATTTGCAATTACTTTTTTTACAGTTTGCTGACGAGTGTTTCTGTGGTAACAATCTGAACACTGATCAGTTCATATCAGTTCCAGAAAGCGACTGTAACATGAAATGTAGTGGAGAAAACAGGATGTGTGGATCAGGTCATAGGAATTCCGTTTACAGAGGTATGCTGGATATTTAGGGAGATAAAACTAATCACGAAGACAAAAGCAAAGGAAGATATGCACGATACACTGTGCTCATTATGAAACCAAACATACTAGTATGATTTTCATTAAGTTTGTGATTGATTTCATACCACTAATCCATATGATGAGGGGTCGTATAGGGATAAAGGAACATTGGAAGTATACAGGGGGCAGGAAGAGAGAGTCAGGGAAAATAATGTGGGAGTCATGGGGGCGGGAATCGGAGAAAAGGGTGAGTAAAAAAAGTGATATTCTGGTAAAAAAAATTTGAACGAGTTGGGAGTAGAGGATGAGGGGAGTGGGAGTTGAGGGTAGGAAGTGGGAATCAGGGGCCCCCTATCAATCTTCTCATATATGATCGTCGTAGCTGTAACTAAGACTTGCATGTAAAGGGTAATGACAAGAATACATAGAAAATAACAGCTTTTGGGCAATCATTATTTGCAGTTGACTCTTAGATATAATCGCCATAAAAAAAACTGTCAAAAGATCTACTGCCCTGTTGTTTTTGAGACTATAAAAAAAGCTTCAGGTAACGAACTTTAGAAAAGTATGGTCTGTTGATTATATGTATTATTATTATCATTTTCTTCAAAACTGTGCGAGAAGCAACTTGAATTTATCTTTATACGAAATTCAGATGACTATTCATTTCTAGAATTGATTTTAAAAGTTTCATCTTTTCAAATGCATTTTTACTATGACTGCTTCAGTAACGTTCATGAACATAAGTATTATACACAGACAGGAATAGCTGTTTTATTTAAAGAATGGTTTATTGATGCTGGAAAAATAAATTCATTCCGTTTTTTTTTTACGTCAAACGTATCAATTTGAATTGTAACAATACAGGGGATCTAATAAAAATTCGATCTCGCTGCTTTATTTAGCATATTGTAGGTTAAGCAAAAGATTAATATATAAAGATAAGAAGATGAGGTATGATAACCAATGAGACAACTCTCCACCAGATTCCAAATAAAAAACGTAGAAGTTGACAACTAACATAAAAATAAGAAGATGCGGTATGATTGCCAATGAGACAACTCTCCACCAGAAACTTAATGGCATAGAAGTTAACAACAATATTTTACCGTACGGCCTTCAACAATGGGCAAAACCCATACAGCATAGTCAGCTATAAAATGCCCAGAAATGGAAAACAATTCAAACGAGAAAACCAACGGCCTGATTTATGTACAAAACAATGAACGAAAAACAAATATGATATATAATGTATTCTTTTTATTTTTCAGTACCATTTTGATATGCTGGTTATTGTTAACTCGAAGTGACTGGAAAGATGCAACGACAATTGTTTTTCATTGCCTTTTATTAAGCAATAAAATATTTTGGTACACATTAATTGTAGTAAGATTCAAATATTTATTAGCACTGATTGATTCGGTCAATGGTCATTTGCATGCACCGAAAACCTTTGGTATTTTGTTGTTGGGTCACTGTCACATGACATTCAACCACCAATAATTTTCGTTTTATCATCACACATTTTAATTTTTCAGACAACTTGATTACAATGATTACTGGTGATAAATGTGGTCGGTTGTACTGTCCAACGTTTTTGCATTGGAAACTAAAAGGGGCCGGTATTAGTTGCCAAAAAAACATGCACATACAATTGACTCAATCAGAAACAGGTCTATCTGTTGGCTGCCTTGTTTTACTTTTCAGTTTTGACATTCATTTCGTTTTAATAACAAAGTTTTTTTACAATCAAATATTCTTGAAATTCAGTTTTTGGTTTTACTATTTATGTTTACACTATGGAATGGAAGAACTAAAACGTGTTTTATATAAAAATCATTTAATTAAACGAATAAAAACAAATAGGTAAGATAAAAATCTGATATATCTGGTATTCTTTACAAAGATTTACAGGACACATTTCAGATAATGGAACTATTCCTGTCTTCTCAAAACCAATTGCTCTTCTGTTATTTTTAGAATCAGATAAAAGATGAAATATTTGTTAATTACTTCTATCACGTCTATGTAAATTCATTTTGTACTGCAACTAGTTGTGTTTATTTCCTATATATATTAACAAAGCTATATTTTCTGCAATGTCAATTTCACCATGGAACACTTTTTCCACAATCAGGGGTACATTTAGGGATGAAAATAAGTTTGAAATTTGTGTTACAATTCAAATAGCTATCAATGTATTAATTTAAGTTGCAGTATAAAAACAATCTTAGGTCAATGTCAGAAAAATATAAACTTTTTTGTATTCGGCACAAGACTGTGGAAGAGCTCTGTAAAACCTCGCCTTTCCCCAGTTTCTCAGCCTCATACAAAAAAAAAATATTTTTCTGACATTGACCTAATATTGTATATACATTACATCTTTCTACGTACTAATGTCATCTCGGAGAGATAAAGATGTAACATAACTTATATATTATCTGCTCAAACTGTCAAACAGATCAAATCTTCGTAAATTTAGTCGTGTAACAAGATTTACGTAGAAGTGTTATCAGTTATTAGTAAAAAAATCAGGTTTCAGCAATTTAAAAAGCAGAACATCAAACCAACTGAACAAAACACGCTCAACTGAAATACATTGAAACACGTAAAGATCAAAGTTACTGTATCAAATGGCAATAACAAGGAAATACACTTTCATGAACTATAATTACTGAATATTATTACACACTGAACAAGACAATTCAAACATACGAGATGCTCGGATTAAAGCAAGAACAAATAAATGACTGATATAACGACAATATTTTACTTCAAAAATAAGGAATATAGAAAAATGAGCAAAAATATAAAAAAATAGAGAATAATTGGGTGCTAAAGAATAAAGAATAGCTGTCGGATATAAAAGAATTAGGTTATAAAATACTGATTACAGAAAGGAATGATGTACAGAATAAAGAAATCATCTACTCTCAGAAAAATTTAATAGTAAAACAAATTTAATGATAATTTTATTATAAGAATACATGTTACCTTTTTCACACATATAGATTGTTTTATTTGCCTTACACATAGTTCTCTCCGTCGTATTAAGCCACTCCTATACATTCGTTAAAGATAATGTTTTGGGGTATCCTGCAGCACAAATACGGATTCAAATAAGAGTTGAAAATATCAGACTTTTTTTCTTCCTTACCCGCGCTAATTCGAATTCTAATTTTAACTAGTCGAACTTTAACTCGAAATTTAACTTCAGTCGAACTCTAATTCGAACTTGAACTCGAACTCTAGCACGAACTTTAACTCCAACTCTAACAGATTGAGATGGATCATTTCAGATAGCACTTCACTGATAAACAAGGTTAAATTTCTTCGACATTTTAGAGAAAAAAATGTATTCATCCATTTAATTAAACGATGTCCTGAATACGGGCCTGTTTAGGCTCTTTTTTATAAATAGCCTTAAGAACAGTTGTATTATTTGAAGGACTTTAAATTGAAACTAATGAATACAGATGACATTTTATTGAATTTAATGTCAGTTTAAACAGATATACAAGTATATACGGTATCACATGATTCAAACGGCCATAGTTACATTACATTACATTTGCGTGCATTAATTTCATCTTTATACACATCAGTCTAATTAACATATAGATCTCTGATTTCGTTATTCTATAATGAAATATAACACTCGTGCGTATGTGTAGTTTCACTTTTGAATGATTTCGCACCTGATTTTTCAACCAATCAGAATGTGACTTACCGAATGTGGAAAATGCACCCAGAACAAAAATTTGAGCGTGCTTCATTGAAATGACCCGAAAGTCTTCAAAGAGAAAAACAAATCGGAATGGCAAGTTTCTCACTTCGAGGGAAGCATATCTCATCAACCTTTGTCATCGTAATAACACCACACAATTACATTTAGTTAACACATTCTGACAGTAGATAATACTATAACCATGAATAATTGAAATCCGTGCCGTTTGTCACAGTCTTCAGTTGTACCTAAAAGCATTATTCATGTCTTGACCCTCGAACTTTAGGTCGGATTGGCTTGTAATATTGACTGGGACATAATATATAATCGTTTGAAAGTACCAAGAAAAAAATTTTTTTTTGGTCTTATATTCTATGAGTTAGTCAGTGTCCGCTTTCATTTTCATGTTTTACTTTCAATAACAAAAAAAGAAAAGACAACAAGTGTGAAGGTGGAAAAGGGGGGGGGGGGGTGTAGGCAATCACATGGGGATATTTTGGTTTTTTTTATCTAGAAGGTCGCCTGGTTGTAGGGAATATTTGAAAAAATACTTAAATGCTTCATTTGTTTTCCTGGATAATAGAAGTTTGTTTTGTGCATTGAACAAGATCATGTCCTCCTATGCTGTTAACGGTGAATTACAGGAATAGATATCACGTTTTTTTATTTTTATTAAGGAGTTATTTGTCTATCACACTTCAAAATACTTTTTATCATTCATAATTTCAGTAGGCTTGTGCTTTTCACAAAACGTTTGAAAAAATGCATTACTTAGATCTCACATTTTTACCATGCAGTAATCAGTGATTCGCAATAATAAATGCAGGCATTAATTTTTGAATTTACAGTTTTGTCTCTACATGTAAATGTCTTATGATTTTTGTAGTTTGGTTGCTGTCTCAATATAAAAGTCATTGATGTATAACCCACATTTTTTATTCATATCTGTACAAGTTATCTTTTTACAACCCCTGCATTTCTTCTCAACCAAATATATTTGTACTAATAGGTATACATGTCTTCTACCTACTCAAATACAACTTAGCTAACACAGCTGCTGAATTAAAATCCCTATGTCTCCTATTCTGAGCGAGACAATCAGGACATCAAAGAAAACAAGAAAAAAACATGTTACAATGTTCTATATGTATATGTAGAAGACAAGGAATTTTCACCTAGCTTTTATTTCACAAATTTGGAGGCATTCTGGGAATTAAGTTGTCATTTAGGCTACATAATCCTAGTCGGTGAATAAAAAAAGTATATATAATTATTGTGAGGAACAAGAGTATACACGCTAAAAATGAAATGTCTGGCCTGCTTCACTATAATCATGATTGAATTTATGTTGAAATATAAAAAAATAAGAAGATGTGGTATGATTGCCAATGAGACAACTCAGATGTGATATGATTGCCAATGAGACAACTCAGATGTGGTATGATTGCCAATGAGACAACTCAGATGTGGTATGATTGCCAATGAGACAACCCTCCACAAGAGACCAAATAACACAGAAAGTCTGTACTACGAAGGTTTTACTACAACCTTCACATACGCTAAACATTATTAACGATCAATGTAAATGAGGCTGACAGGTCAGGTAAACCATGTTTGATGGACATGTAGACCTTGTAAAGATCCCATATATCAAATATAGTTATCCTTTTACTCATAATAAGTGAAAATTTCACATGACAAAAAAACTAAACATTTTTTCAAGCAGTAACTGAACCATGCAAATGAGGTCAAAGACAATGGATATAACAGACACAAGTCACTTGCATACAAGGTATGACACATCTAAGTCTTCTATATGTACCTTTTGAAAAAGAAATATTTATACAAATAGTTTAAGCTGTCGCCGCCATATAGTAATCCCTATGTCTCTCATTCTACAGGCGAGTCAAACATGAACTAGAAAGACAAAGTGTGTGATTTATCTGCTTGGCAACGGATGTATTGCATTTCAAAAGAGAAACTTGTTACAAAATGTCTAGGCAATATTGGACTATTTTTTTAAGGTCGCCATTACAATGACAACATGGTGATGCGTGTGTGTCGACTTATGAGAGACTTTTCTTGTTCTAAGATCGCAAGATATCGAAAAAGTGAATAGCGAATAGAACATACTCGAAGTGATGGCAACAGCTCACTTTGTCCATAGGACCTGGTGAGCGAAAAAAAGTGCTTTCTGATATGTAAATGTGAATCTAGTTTTCAGTTCCAGTTGAATATTTATTTTGGAAAACAAGTACAATTTTTTATGGCGTTATACATCAGATTTTTGATGATTTGTAGCGCATGTGTAGGACAAAAACCGGTAGCAATGTATTTACAAATAGTGCCCAAAATGAATAATAAATATGAAAATGTGGTTAAAACTACTTGCATAACAACTAGAAATTACTGTTCTATTTTGTAGAGAACAGTAGATGTCAGCTGTTCTCTTAAAATACTTATTGTAGGGGAAAGTGCTGCATTTGTAGGAAGTAAGTTCCATTTTGTGATAGTAAACTTTAATATTTGTAGCAGTCCTTGTTCTTATGTTGTACTGTTACACCACTGTCCCAGGTTAGGGAAGGGTTGGCTCCTTCAAACATGTTTAACCCAGCTACATTCTTTTTTGCATGTCACAAGTCAGGAGCCTGTAA